TTATTGTTATTATTATTTTTTTTTTTTCTATTGGTATTAGTAAATTAAAATTTCTATTTTTATTAGCATAAAATTTATTTCTAAGACGGAAACATTGCTTACTTGTTTTTTCTTCGAATCATAATCATTATACTGTTCAACTAATACAAATATAGTGAGTGGTTCGGAAATAATTTTTGTTATTAATCAACGTTGTTCCATTATTATATTGTGTACATGGTTATTAACAGAAAATATTCGAAGTGATTAAAAAATAATTATTTTATTTAAAAAAATACAAATATTATTACAAACTATCAAGACAAAAATCATAATTAATATGTATTAAACAGCCGAATCAAAACGAGAGGTCTGCAAGCAGAATTTCTTAGGAGCACTTGTGTGGGCAAGGCGATTAGGGAATTCCGCAAAACTTGACATCCAAGTTCTCATGAGACAACCGGACCACTCTGATCTCTTCAGACCAACACCGGTAAAATGTTCTATCATTATGCAACAAATAAAATCTATTTCACTTTATAGGTACACACGTATTGTGCAAAACCGCTATGATATCAATTTTTTTCATTCAATCACTCTTTTTATTACATTCCAAGAGAAATTTCCATACATAAAGTAATATAATGATTCCCCCAAAATTACAGGACTACTGGGTGTCGATGCTACACAAACTGCTGGTAGGCCGAGTAGTTCTTGACGTGAAAATAGCTAACGGTAATCGCACCCACGTATTTTTTTACGCTCACTGCACGAAGCCGTCGGTGGACTACGAAAAGGGTTCGCTTACGATTTTTGGAATCAATCTCACACCAACAAAAATTACGGCGTCTGTAGCTCTCAAGGGCCTCCGATCCCAGGTAGTACACAAGTACGTCTTGTTACCTGGTTTTGATGCGCCGAACCGAATGTTTGCCCAGTAAGGAGAGTTTATTCGTCACTTTTTTTAAATTGTTCATATTTATTTTTAATTTTGGAAAATTTTATTTTTTATTCAATTTCAGATCAACTATGCTGAACAATGAACTGCTGACACTGGTCGGGGGAAAAAAAGTTCCTCACATACGGCCCGTGATCTACAGCGATGAAAGAGGAGTGAAATTAAGTTTGCCATCTGGTGGGATTGGCTTTTGGGTTCTCCCTGGCGTCAAAGTAAGTTTAATATTTAAAATTGACATTTGAAAAGAAAAATATTTCTTGTACATACAAATTCATTTACAATAAATTAATAATGAATAATTTAATTTTTATTGAATTGTTGATGTTTCCTTTTCGAAAAATTTATTTTGAACTTATGGCAAGATAAAAGAAAGGAAATCTTCTCCGATTCAACGAATTGGTATGTTCAGGTCAGGCAGTCTGACCAAACATTGCGTGTATCTACTTGAATCTTTGGATTTAACTGAACGATGTGCTGGAGCGTGACGAATAATTAATATACATCTTAATGTTGCTGCAATGAAGTGTATATAACAAAAATAGTAATTTACTTTATTTTTATTGATGTAAGTCGTTAAAATCTATCAGTAAAAATAAATGTACAATATAAGACAAAACAGGAATACCTGTGATATTTATTATTGCACAAAATATGTTACCATAATATCAAAATTTTATTTCATTTCATCTTGAACATTTGAATTCCTCAAGAATTTTTTTTTTACGCNAATTAGATTGATTTGAATAATTTTAGCTAACAATTTTATGAGAATGTTGCCTTGTATTTTTATTAGATCTAAAGGTTCGTCTAATAAATATATAATAATAATAATTAAGTATTTATTGCAATTTATTGCAGCCCTGAACTCACTCTTAGTATATTTAAGCTATTTGTAAGTAAAATCTTTGAGAGATATTCTCAGATTTAAATTTTTTATACAATCGAGACATTGTGTCATTAGATCAAAGCGTGCATGGAGCAAGAAGAAGAAATGGCGAAAAAAAATTTATCGAAAAAAATAGCCAAGCAATTCGAAGACTTGGCAGTCGATCCTCCGCTTCAATCGCCAATCCCCAGCGGGGCGTCTGACGAACAGAAAAGATCCAACCAGCAGCAGAGTCAAAAACGATCCTTGACTCGACAGCACCATCACAAGGACTTTAAGGATAATGGGCGCAACGATTCGGAAGAATCGAGAAAATTCCAGATGAGCCAGATTGAATTGGCGAAGCGTAGCTTGAAAAGACTCGACAAAATTCTGAACAAGCGGGATAATCAAGCTAACAAACGCAAGGTATGGACGAGCTCTGGGAGTCGATATTTTAGATAACACTTATTAATGGTAATGTATTTTATTGTGGTTAGAGTGAAAGTATTCATGGGGTGTTGGTTGACAACAAAGAAGGTGAAAGAAAGAGCCCAATCTCCGAGGAGGATTTGTCTGAGGGATCGAGTGACAGTCTGGAAACTGAACAATCCGAAAAGGAAATCCAAGTTGCGCTCGAGGAGTACAGAAATCACTTGGACAGTGAAACACGAAAAAAACAAAACAGCGCCATGGGAGGAGTACAAAAGGATTTGAATAAGGTGATTTTTCACCATATGAATACAAACAAAAATTATGCAGATAAATTTTTTTATTTTCAATACAAATGACGTACACATTATTTTTAAATAATTGTAAGTCATCAATATCATTAAATTTATTATTTAAAAAGTTGCTTTTAATTGTTATATTATTTATGTATTTTTCATCAAAGTTTTGATGGTTTTTGAGTGACAAAAGTTTTTCTTTTTTGCTTTACTGTTAAAAATGTTTTAAAACGGTCTGCTTTCATAAAGAGTGTATAATTATTGTATGGATTAAAAAACAATCCGTCTAAAAATATATAGAATCAAGAATTAAAAAATATAACGTTACTAAGTAATTGTATGATTATTAAGATATTTGGTACTTCAATTAAGCACTGTAACATATATTTACAAAAATATTTTCTTGTTTCAAATCAGGTTATGGATACGGAGAAGGCAATTGAAGCGCTTACCTTGATCACAAAAGTGGAAAATGTAATAAAATTATTGGAACCAGAGGTTGAGGACCAAGACAGCGACTCGAAGTTGAACTTACAAATAGGCAATGAAAGCTCTGATGCTCTGCTCCATGAGGTTCTGAACAGTAAAAAATCGAAGCGAACTATCATACCAACGGGAATCGAGGACCAGTTGAAGGCTCTGTATCAATTGTTATCTGAAGAAGAGAAAGAGAAGAAAAAAGAAAGTATGTCAATATTTTTCGTTCTTTTGATTGGTTCGTTTAATTTTTTTTTTTTTTTTTTTTTTTTTTGTATACCTGATACATTTTTACATAAAATGAGGCATAAACTCTCAGTAAAAATTTTTAGGCTTTGAATAAAATTGGAAGTTATTTATTCTGGTAATGGTTTAGTTTTTGATCATTATTTAATACGACGTTATATTACAAATTAAAATCAAAATATAGAAATTTCTCTTCATTAAATGTAAATCAAGATACGTAGAAATCTACATCAATTGACGATTTAATTCTGATTGATAATAAAAACTTGTTTAATTAATTATTCAACACGAAATTACAACTGAATGTTTGTAATTGATGATGAAATTTAAAATCACAATGAAAAAAGTAAAATTACCCATGTATTTTACTATAACTAACTTTTTGTAAACTATTGGCATCGATTACGTGAAACAATACGATTCCGGTTTTTCAAAACTATTTTTTAGTTTCATCCTCTAATGTAAAAAAAAGATATTTAAAAAATTCATACTAAAAAATTTGACACGCACATGAATTCATATAAATAAATGTTTTCAGTAAATCTTAAATTTTTAATCAACAGATAAATCACGCCAGAGGCGTGAATTCAGCAAGAATTTAGAGGATGACCGACAAAAAGAGTATTCAGCCAACCAAAAACGGGGAAAAAACCCCCAGATCAAAAACCATGTAGATAACTCAAAGCAACGACATGGATCACAGAAGAAAGACGAACGTACGTCTGATGAAATCGATGAAAAAGAATTTTCTGCTCTTCAAACTCAGCCACCCCCCAAGATATTTTCAGAGGATGAAATCAACGTACCAACAAGCATCGACCCAAGTAAGATCGAAGGTAAACCACGGCAGTCAACAACAATAGTCATTGAAGACAAAAATGGAGATACGTCATTGGAAGTCGAAAACACTGATGACATGCCCAACGTTTCCCATGGGGAAGCTAATGAACAAAAGATGGTTGAAAAAACGAATACCAAGACTTTCGACGACTCGCAAAGAGAAACATCAAACAAGGACGAAGTAATTGACGAGACCAGTAAGTTTATAAAATGTTGGAAAAAATAGCTATTTACGCACCTAGTGAGCGAGGTCAAGAATGTCGCAGATTTCACATGAATAAATGGTTAATGTGAAATCTAGGGCATTTTTTAACCTCCGAACGTGGTGCGTATACGATTTTACGTCTTCTGGTGCTTGGTAAGTAAAAAATGTTCACTTACGGAGCACCAGTGACGTAAGTACGATTATGTGATTCATTAAAGTTTGTCTTCCTTTATTTCCTTATTTGTTAAATGAAATAATAATTGCAGCTACAACCCCGGATGGTGAGATGAATACTGAACCATCAATTTTCAAAAGTGTAACACTTTTGCCGGGTGGTGCAAGTGGATATGAAAATCAGCGAACTAAGAGACAAGTAAATGATCTCGAGGAAATTTTACACGAAGAAATGATGTCCCAAGATGACAGCAACTCGAAAGATTGCCATTGCAGAGTCATCCGGGCCTCAAGCAATTGTAAAGTCTGCACCACCAGAGGGGAAAAGCCTAATCCACGAAGAATCAACGTACCAGCTCGAGTGTTGCGATACCCTCTTCCACGCACTTCCAGTCGTACTGGACATAGAACGCGACGAGATACCCAAGATTCCTCACATGTGAGTCGAAGCAAAGTGAGAAGGCAAAGGAATCGAGGGTTAATTGAAAATTGTACCTCTTCTTCGGAAAAAGGAAAATCAAAGACCACTGAAATGTCGGTAGATAACGATGAAAAATTGGATCAACGAGTAGATTCAAAAGAATTCGTCACTGAAAGAATTTCAACAACTCGTGTTGGTAAACTAAAGACCGCTGAAAAAATCATCAAAAATGAGTTGGCATTGGAAAATGATGGAAGAAAAATTGCGGGAAATCGTTTACCAAGAACCATCTCACCCACTCCAAAGTCCGTTCTTAAGAAAAGAGTTTCTAAGATCAAAGACAATTTACAAAATGACCAAGAAGACGGTAATGAATCTGTCGATGACTTCAACATATCTTTAACCACTGATAAAAATCCTAGCCACAAGCAAGTTGTCAACACACATAGTAGGGAAGCCAAAAAAGACAAAGTTATCGATAAGTCAAAGATATTAAAAAGTAATGTAGAACAACCTTCTCAGACCAAAGATTTGAGGAAAAATGTCAAAGTAAATCTAGATTCTATTACTGAAAAAAATTTTAAAACCGAGTCACTTAATGATAGAAAAGAGAAACATACGATGAGAGGTACGAGCTCTAATAAAAAAAAGAAACAAACTGAAAACCAAAATGGGGAGACTTTAGTCACAAGTACACCTGCCAGTATGCCAAATTCCGCATACGTAAAATCTAAAAGTACTAAAGAACAACATTATCAGACCAAAGATTCGAAGAAAAACTTGAAAGCTAATCCGGAATCTATTTCTGAAAAAAGCCACACTACCAACTCATTTAATGAAGAAAAAAATAAACATGGGATAAAAAGCGGAAGTTCTAATAGAAAAAATAAACGAATCGAAAACAAAAATGCTGAAACTAAAGTCTTAAGTACACCAACAAGTGCGCAAAGTTCTGTGATTACCAGATCAAAAAGTGATGTAGGAAAATCACATCAGGCTAAAGATTCAAAAAGAATTAATGATAATGTCTACAAAACAATGAGTGCAGAAAAAAACTTTGATGCAGACTCGTTTGATAGTAAAAAAATTACAAAAAAAAAGAAACAAAGTGGAAACCAGAGCACTAATTTTTTATCCTCAAGTACGAAAAATTCTTCAAATAAATTAAAAAATGAAGCAGGACAATCTGTTCAGACTAAAGATTCAAAGAGAAACAATGCTAACGTCAATAATAAAATAAATCCAGAATCTATTAAAGAAACGAAATCAAAGGCTGATGTAACCAGTAAAGAAAAAGATCAACGCATGACAAAAAACTCAAACCCCAACAAAAAAAAGAAACAAACTGAAACTCAAACTACTGAAACCGCGGTCTCGAGAACATCAATCGGGACACCAAACAACTCAAGAAAACAATCAATTCCGAAGAGTAAGAATATGGATGCAACGATTACTCAAATTGATCAAACCAAGTTCAAACAAGCAAAATTGCTGACAAGATCAGAAGAACTGGTGACTCCAAAGAAAGAAAACACAAGTAGACACGATAAAAAAAGAATGGAGATACCTCCGAACACGAAAAGTTATGAAAATGGTAGAGTAATTGATCATAAAATACGACGCGAAGAGTTGGAAAAAATAAAACTCCAGTTACGAGCGAAACGTGAAAAAATCCTACAGCAGTATAGAGACGAGTTAATAGAAGCGATACACAAAAACTCGGATATCAAATTTCGCAATAGACAAAAACGAGATGTACTAGCTACTCAGGCAAATACAAAAAGAAATGAATCAACGGCAGACCAGAAAACAATAAAGTATATTGTTCAAAAAGACACGCACCAATCAGCAGAAAATGAAAGGAAAATACCAATCATCGAAGTTACAGGACCACATCATGATATACAAAAGAGGAAATCATCAGAACCAGTCGGATCAGAAATGAGCAAAGATAAGAACATGAAAAATGTCGAAGATTTGGATGATAAGAAACAAAAGACTCCGATTAATATTTATTTTGATGATGAATCATATGACCCGATAAAGAATGCAGGAATTGAGTCTATAACAAGATCACCCTATCTTTATTCAGACAGATTTGGTGGTACCGAAAGGTATGGAAACCCAACACTGGAATATGGAGGATCGGGAGAAAGTAGTCAAGAATACTACACTCAGCAGCCACAATATCGACAATCAAATCAATTTCACCCTTATCTAATATATAATCAAGATGGTGTTGTACCAAACAAATATGGCCCAAATTATCATCAACGAGATATTGTGCCGAACGATAGAATTGTTGTAAACTTAGACAAAAAGGTTGTGCAACATCCATCAGGTGTTAGTGACTTCGATAAAAACGATCAGAGTCAAAATCAGTCAAAGCAGCAGAAAAACCAGTCACAAGAACCACTGATATCTTTGCGACAAAACGGATTACCACAGAAATCTCAGGCAGATGAAAGTCTACATAAAAGCAATACTTCACCCATCCAACATGAAACAGTCAAATCAAACCATAGAAAAGAAAGAAAAATAAATCTAAAAATCTTTGAAGTGCACCCATCGATTTATGATAATGACGACTATAATTACAGTTTTCGAGAAATATATCCTGAACCATCGTACCTCTTTCCTGTTGGAGGCTATCGTCCTGGTCCCTACGAGTATATAAACAGCAGATATAAAAGGGCAATGCATAGAAAACCAATGATTCAAGAGCCATTATCATTTAATTTGGGCCTTGAAAAATCAAAGAATAACAACATGAAAGGTAAATTTTAAGTGTACAGATAAAAATTGATTTTACATATTCACATGTTGTATTTACAATTATAAATACATCAAAATCATTCTATGTTTTTAGTATTCTAATTAGCTCAAACATTTGTAGCAATTGTAATTTTTTTAACATGGGATTGTTTGATTTCAGCTTTCGATAATTATTCTCGAAAAAAACGAATGGCAGAGGACTTTTTGATCGCAAGAAAAACATCCATCAACAAAAACATTAAGAAAGTATCCAAATATTTTGACAAGAAGAACAAAAAATTTCCAAAGAGCCCAGTAAACACTGACAACTCCAAAAAAATCTTTTTAAAAAATACTTCCCAAACACAAAATCGTGTCAGAGACATCGAAAATTTCAAAAGGAAAAAACGATCGTACACAGATAATTCGACTGACTATCATCAAAATTTCAACGATATCAGCATTCAACTAGACGACCTGGACGTGAACGTATCTCCGATGGACGAGAAACTACTTCAAATGAAGAAATATTTAGAACTACCCAACAACCCTCTGAGCAAAGAACGAAGTACACTTGAAAAAATAACCAACTCGACAACACAGGCAAACATCGAGTCAATTGTGGTGGATGCACTACCGAAGATCGAGACCCTCGTCACTGAAAAATTGAAAAAAGCGCAGAGTCTGACGGGGTCTTTCAAAGATTTTATCGAGACATTTGATGAAACTCTCGATGAAACGACACAGATGACAAATACTGAAAATTCCGCTACTGAGGTCAACGATGAAAAAAATGACCACAGTGTCATTCAATCTACGGTGAACAGTGTCAAAAAATTTTTTGACGTTGCCTCGGCAATCACTCACCTTGTATTGAGTCAAGGATAAATTTTATACCAGTTTTATGTGAGCGTACTTAAAGTATTGCAGTGTACATATTTATCTCATTTTCGATACTTATCAATAAATTCATATACTTGTTGCAATTTTTACGATAAGATTATCGGAAAAAATATGTAGGGCACATTTTGTATGTTGGATATTTTTATACTCTAAAATGTAAGTCAAAGTTACTAATGTGGCATTTAAAATGTAACTTTTAGGTACACTACGAAAAAAAAATGTATTTTTCGCCTAATAAATACTTTACACACAACCATAAACATTGTTTGCTTATTATTATTTTCGAAAGCTAACAGAAAATAAATTAAATTTCCTTTTTTGATTGTTTGTTTATTTTTCATTCTTATAATTGTTTTAAATATTATCTGCACTTAATTATAATTTTTTAATTTGTTTAACAATGTAATGACTAGAAGTCAAAATAAAAGAGTTATTTTTTCATTAATCAGTCATTTATTAAAATTAATTATGGTTTTATAAATTGTGTAACATTAAATTTCAATATCTGATCACAAAGCAGCAACTGTACGACTCTATATTATAATTAGATTTCAACAAGTAAATTTTTTAACAAAACAATATATACACCTTGAACAAAAAAATGATTGACCAATTTATGATACGATTGAAGAGATAAAAGTAGATATTTTAAAGTTTAACTAGGACACTCTTAGAATTGTGCAATGTACCAAATAAAACATGTATTCTTGCTAACGACACCAATCGTATCAACAACGAGTCAACAGAGTTCCAAGTACCGAAACATAAAACAACATATATAACATATATGTGGATAAAAGTAAGCGTAGTCATAAAAAAGCAACAAAGTATCGTATGGGTCAATCCCTTTTGTTGCACACCAGTTTATTTTTAATAATAACCAAAAATAAATTCAGAAAGAATTGATTAAAATAATGTCAAACTACAATACTTACCCATCACGTTTTCATTGTCTACTTCAAGATATAGGATTATTTTATTTCCATATATCAAACACAAACATCCATTATTCTTTTGTTACTCACTTTGCTTTGTTACATACACGTCTAAACCTGCTTGCTTCTTTCGCAAGGGCCTTACCATGCTGGGAAAGATCGTTTTTACGAACGACCAGTCGATCGCGTCTCGTCGAACCGACACAACGTGCTCGTTATTCAAGTATATCACGACCATAAATAGTTCGCCAAGTTAATATATCAGTTAATTTTATGAAGTTACTTTTAACAAATTTAAAGTGCGTAAAATCACTTAAGTTTCTTTAATAAAAAGAAAAAATATTTAAATTTATTTTTAAAAATGAGTAAAATTCGTACGGTCCAATGTACTATAACTTGGCTCTTGATTTGTAGCCTTTTTTCAATTGGTTACAGTAGTAATTTTGGGTGAGTACACTTTTTTTACTATTTTTTTTCCTACTTCTTTTTTATAGGAAGACGAAATAATTGAACGTCACGAAACCATTGAATTTTAAATTTGAATCAATTCTCCTTACGCAAAAAAAATGGAAAAACGTTTACCAAGTAAGTTTATTATGAGTTGTGATGAAACTGATGACGCCGGCATGCGTCAAGTATAACACATGAATTGTATTTTTACGAAGTGTTTCAAAACAAATAAATTTGACGTTATGTGAACGGAGAAATTTTCATCCTTGGTCTTATAATAACCGACGAAAGTTAAACTGCTTTAAAGGAAATATGTCAAAATGATGCATACAAAATTTATTATTATGAATTTAATAGAAGATTTCGTTCGAAAATTATTTTTTTTACAAGTGTTCCAAGTACCTATTTCAATATTTTACATTCGCTAAACATTTTATATTGTGACAGATACTGTGAATTTGAGTAAACATTTCATACCTATGAAATCAATAAAACCAAGGAAGTTTACACAGGTTTTTGTTTCCAATACATTATAAAATTGATTGATGAACAATGAAAAAACAGATCTTGTACTTTACTTAATGTTTTGAAGAAAAAAATGATTTTCTCGATTTCGCCATACTACTCCGAAGTACATTTTTCTAATTGTAAAGACATTATTTGTTTATTTGATTTTTGAATATAATTTGCTTTTTGTTAAAAAAATGCTTACCAAAATACGAAGCTTTATTTTTGAAATATTAATAGCTTAAAAGACTTATTATACTTGATTCTATAAAAGCTCATATTTATACGAGAAATTATGCATAATTAGACCTACTAAGAATCTTGTGTATACGAAAAAAAAACAGAGTAAACTTAGGAAATTTAACCATGAATGCAAAAATTATACAAATAAGTTAGATTTTTTCATGATTTGCGGCTTCAAACCGCTTTAATTTTGTTTCTATTACGCCTTATACATATTACTTTTTTTTCAATGACTGCTTTAATCGAGATATTTTGATATTAATGTTATGGACAGTACGAGCCACACCTATGTGGTGTTCAGCAGTTCAGAATACTGATTTACAATTGACTTACTAGTACTTGAAGAGGTGTCAATAAAAAAAACACAAAAAATTTAAGAATAAATCCCAAGGCCTGTGGATTCTAATTATTATTGTAAAAACTTAATTCATTGTTTTGTTTATGCAACAAACGTCATAATTATAAGTGCTACGAACTTCCTGACTTAAATCAACAAAAATTTTCGATAATCCAATTTTTTGGATATAACATTGTGTGTTTATGTGTAAAGAATGTGCAAATAACATTTCAGATCATAACATACAGTAGAGAAAATTTGAGGTGCGATTGTGGAAAAATATCATCGGAATCCAAGGGTCTTGGGAAATATTTCTGAATTTTTTAGGATTTTTTTATTTAGACATCTCCGAGTACTAGTAAGTTGATTGTAACTTGGTACTCCAAATTAACTGAGCGCCTCATAGGTACGGCCTGTAGTATCAATAACAACCTTAATAGATGTGGATCCTTTTTTCTTATTTAAAATAATTTTTATATTTCTGTAACTAATAAATTGTTAAGTCTGGAAGCCATTAATTGTTTTGTTACTCGTATGTGACATTTTTTCATAAGTAAGGCCAATTTGAAAAGACCATTGACAAATTCAATTGATTCCTTATTTCTTATTCATTATGTACATTTTTACCATATTCCGAGAGGTAGGGTAATGGTTTATTATAAAAATTACACCATAGAAAATGATGTGCCATGAATTTTTTCCGTGATACAAATCAATTTAAGTACTTGTTTAAAACTGAAGCCATTTAAACACGTTGCTCATCACTAATGTCAAAATTCATTTCACAGGCAAACTCTTCACCTTACCAACTTAGGTGCAAGACCGAAACGAGGCCTGGTCATCCTCGTCCCCACCACAGCCGACAGCTCCAAAGCCTTTTTAAAAAACCTCAGGAACATCCATGAAATTCACCCATCTGAAACCGACAAATACATTCACGACGCCGCCTTGAAATTCCTCACACCCCGCAATAACAACAACATTCTCCACACCACTTCTCAGAAAGACTCTTTGAAACCTTACCTCCACAAGCTGTCGGTGATTAACCCCACAGAGATTCCAAAGCGCCAGGACAACGCTCGCAAAATCCGGCGCCACATCCAAGAAGGCCACAAACCACGGGGCACGTGGGACAACAAATACGCTTGCCACTGCCAAGAATCCCAATGTCCCGATAATCTCTGCAACCCCCAGACTGAAGCCATGAGCTGGAAAACCAATGTCAACGAGGACGAGGACGCCTCCACTGAAGTGACCGACCACGAAGAAAGATGGAATATGGCCCAGCCTACAAAGGTTCGCATACCCGTTGCCAATAGCCTAAACACCGGCCAAAGTGTCCTGACTACAGGAAGCGACGAGCATAAAGCAAAATACCGCATACTACCGGTCTACCAGGGCATGCCGATCAAGTTGCTGGAGGACGAGCTGTACTCTATCGTTGTGCCCCAAGATCCCAGCACTGTCTTCTTCGACGAGGACGAGTGCCATGGATCCAATATCTGCGAGCTCAGCAACGAAGACCTCGTTGTCCAGCCTTTGAGGGTTTTTTCCGGCGAGGATTTCTACGGGCAATCGGTTGACCACAACAACGCTCCCGACATTGGCCTGAGAAAGGTATTTAACGCTGATACTCCGAGCACTCAAATGGACACGCCACGGGCAGGAGATCAACAGCAGTTGATAGATCGCTCGAGGTCTGAGAGACCGAACCATTCGCTAGCACGTGGTGACGAGGGTTTTAAAAAACCATCGCGAGCCGCGCCGAAAAACAATCCCAACAGGATCGAGAGCACGGAAATGCCGATTCAGTCGGTCGATCAGAAGCCAAAAGTATTGCGCAACCAACAGACGCAGGTGAATAAGAAGGACGAAATTCGTTTGCAGTGCACGGTGAAGAGGGTCTTGAACAACTTTGTGCCAGGGAGGTCACGGGATTTAATGGCGAATAAGGGTAATGCCGTGGACATCGATGTGGAGGATTTGCTACCGGAAATACTTGAGACACCAGCACTGAGGAGTCTCCTGGTAACTTCAGAAGTTGAGGATATGGTAGTGCAGATGGTGGGTGAGCTCCTCGGGCAAACTGCGGTGGAGGACCGCTCGATCAGAAAAGTGTTGCGCGAAGTGGTCCGTAGGATACCTATAAGATTAACGGTGACGCCTTCTGGTGAGGAGTTGTCGGGTGGTCAATGGGTCAGTGAACACGTGGTGGTGCCAGAGAAGTCCGGAGGTACTCCCAGAGAGGTCTTTGAGAAGATCAGATGTATAATCAGGGATTCGGGGATTCGAATGAGCGAGGTGGCGCTACCTGTCGTTAGGAACGTGATTGTTAAAGCGGTGAAACGCGCATTGGATAGGGAGCGCGGGGTGGCCGACGAGTTCGCTATTAGGCGGGCTTTTGATTGCTTGTCACCATTGAAGGTTAATGATGAAATAGAACCGGTAGACGATGAGCTCGAAACTGGGAATTCAGATGGAATTTCTGGAAGATCGACTCCTCGGTCTAGTGT